TGACAGCCGCCATGGTGGCCATTACCTTGTTGCCGCCGCCTTATGCCACAAAGTGGGTGGTTGGCTTCCCTATCCGAGTAAAGGAATGAAGAAGTGCATGTTTCAGTCGATGTGTGTGTGGGTGTATGGCCGGAGTCCTCGGAAAAGGCATCACCACCACCATAGGGTGGTGACTGCCACCTTCTACCGCCACCGGCCGCCGTGTCGGGTGGCGGTGTGCCTTGATGGTGTTTGGACTCGCTTGGATGTTTGGACAAGGGACTAAGAAACCCTAATGGGCCCAATGAGGCTTAATGGGCTTAATGAACCCTAATGGGCCCAATGAAGCTTAATGGATCCAAAAGCCCAAACATATGACTAATGGGTGTAATAAACCCTAATTGGCCTAAGGAAAACCCTAATGGGCTTAAGGACTTGGTTTTAGGCCTATTGGGCTAAGATGGGATTCGAAACCCTAATTAGGGTTTAGAAAACCCTAATATTGGATTTATGGGTTTGGACTTATTGGGACCCACTTTTGGGCCATTGGAATGGAATTGTGTGATTAAGCCCAATCACACCATATGACTTATTTAGAAGAATGATGGACTTAATGGATTAAGTCCTTAATGGCTTAAGTCCTTAATGGGTTAAGTGAGAAACACTTAACCCTAATCGTCATTTTATGTGAAACCCTAATTTCACTTGGGTGTATTGTTGGACCTTTTATTGGGCCTTGATGATTGGGTTATTAATGGGCCATCCAAGATCAGACAAATGGGCTGGAATGATTAATGGGCTTTGGGGTAAGGTCCATATGAGGAGTTGCGCCCAATTTGGAAAATTGGGCCATAGATGGGTCATAGTGGGGCCTTAAGGATTATATGATATTGGGCCATTAGAAGGTCAAATGTTGGACTGGACTTTTGGTTGGGCCTTGGTAAGACCTTATATAGGTTTGGGCCCAATTTGGAAAATTGGGCCATATGTTGGGCTTTGAGTCCTAGTCGACTTTGGGCCTATGAATTGGGCCTTGGGCTTGAATAAGCCAAGCTAGGGGTAATGTAGTAATTACCCAAAGCATGTACTTATGGTTATGTAGTGGAACCCAATTATTAATTGGGTAATGTTTTGATATTGACAGATCGGGAATCTGTCATCCAGCAGCTAGGGTTGAGTCTGTGGGACTTCAGCAGTGTGGGATTGAGTCTGCGGGACGTCAGCAGTGTGAGGTGAGTTACCTTCCAGTAGGGGTGGGTCTAAGGCCACAATGCCGGCCCACCAACAGGGGTAGTTGGTAGATAATTGTCTTTGTGACAATTATATTGGTATGATATGTTTGTGAGATATGCTTATGTGATATGCTATGTGTGTTAATGGTAGTAGCAGGGAATAGTTTTTCCCTGACTCAGTCATTAGGACCGAAGGGTAGGTCAGTACCCCAGATATGCCTGACTGTATGGTTATATCCTGTTATTGTATGATAGTGGTAGGGGTGAAATAGTCCCCGGTTACCGGTTGAAAGATACCGATGGCAGATACCAGTTGAAAGATACCGATGACAGTTACCGGTTGGAAGATACCGAAGGGGTATACAAAACCCATGCAATGCTTATCTGTATGTTTATGATACGTTAGTATGTGATCAGTATGTTATGATGTTAGTATGTGATCAGTATATCATGTTGTTGGTATGTGATCAGTATGTTTATGATGTTAGTATGTGATATGTATGGTTATGATACATTATTATGTGATAGTGGTAGGGGTGAAATAGTCCCCGGTTACCGGTTGAAAGATACCGATGGCGGATACCGGTTGAAAGATACCGATGTCGGATACCGGTTGAAAGATACCGATGGCAGTTACCGGTTGAAAGATACCGATGACAGTTACCGGTTGGAAGATACCGAAGGGGTATACAGAACCCATGCAATGCTTATCTGTATGTTTATGATACGTTAGTATGTGATCAGTATGTTATGATGTTAGTATGTGATCAGTATATCATGTTGTTAGTATGTGATTAGTATGTGATCTGTATGGTTATGATACATTATTATGTGATAGTGGTAGAGGTGAAATAGTTCCCGGTTACCGGTTGAAATCCACCGATGTTGAATACCGGTTGAAAGATACCGATGGCGGTTACCGGTTGAAAGATACCGATGGCGGTTATGTGGTATGTGGTATGATGGGGGAACTCACTAAGCTTCGTGCTTACGGTTTACAGTTTTGGTTTCAGGTGCTTTGTTTTCAAAGGAAAGGAGCCGGCTCGATCGCAGCGCATCACACTATGTTTTCCGCACGCGAGATCCTTGGGATTACACTCTGATATGGTTTCATGATATTATATTTGGTTATTAACACTTTGGTTTTGACATGAGACATTATTATGAATGTTTTTATACTAATGGTTTTATGGAATAACTTATTTAAAAAATGAAATTTTTGGCCTTGAATTTTGGGATGTTACAGATTTAATGCAGATTTACCGAATTTCCAACAACAATGGAAAACGATAAACACAAAGTGAATAATGAGAAACCGAAAGAAATCCCAAAGAAAGAGAGAGAGAGAGAGAGAGAGAGAGAGAGAGCGACCGATACGATTTAGGTGCACGACACATCGGTCGCTGGTGCTAGGCTAGGCTAGGCACACACATAGGCTTGACCCATTCCTTTGATCCACTAAATCCTTTGAAGCCCTATCAAGAGAAATGATATATAAACTCACTAAAGGTTTCTCCCCCACCAATATGGGATAAAAGAAACTTGCCAACTTGCAAGATTGCGTCTATAATTTCCAACACAAAGAAATGACCACAACTAAGTATTAAAGCAGTCAGCAGTAGTAACACTCATGAGAAAACTCAAACCTCAATTACCCAACCCCTCTCGGTCGTTACATTCCACCAATTCCACCATGTCCTACAATTCTCTACAACCATCACCCAACCTCTTCTTACATGGCCTTTCTTTCCAGCAAAGTGTTTGATAATATGCCTAAGAGAAATTTTCTTCCCTGGACTACGATTATTAGGTGTTATGCTCGATCAGGGAAGGTAGATACCACGTTTTAAATGTATAAATATATGCAATGTGGATGAATTAAACCAAGTTCAACCACCATATTAGCCATGCTTTCAGGTATTTCAGAAAATACTCATGTCCAGTCTTTTCATGCTTCTGCAATCTGCTACGGGTTTGGTTGTGATTTGGTTTTAGCCAACTATTTACTAATTTTGTATGAGAAATATTGAAGAGTCATGAAGCTAAAAGCTTGTTTAAATCAATGGATAATTGAGATATTATCTCTTGGAATTCTTTGATTTCTACTTATGCTTTGATATGTTAAATAAATCTCACAACTTTTATCTAGAATGCTTGTTAGTGGATTAGACCCTGCTTTGGTTCATTAGTTTCTGCTGCTACGAGACATGGCAAACTCCAAATGGGGAAGTTGGTGCATACGAAAATATTCATAAGTGGTTTTGAAATATATTTCCAACTTAATATATTACTTATAACCATGTATCTTAAGTTTAGAGACTTAATAAACGCCTATTGAATAATTGAATCAACTCCATATAAAGACATGATTTTATAGACTGCAGTGATCTTTGGGCTTTTATGGATGAATGTCGATATAAGTCATTGTTATTATTCCATAAGATGTTAATTTCACATGTAATGCCATCCACCACAACCGTAGCTTGTGTTCTCTATAGCTTATGCCCAATTGCCAGTTGGGATCGTTACTTCTAGGAACCTTAGTCCCTGGGCATATATTAAGGAAAATATTAAGAAAAAAAGTTATTCTAGATATTGCTACCCAAAATTATCTCGTTACGTTGTACGAAAAATATGGCCTACTAAATCAAAATTGTGCTCTTTTCGGAATAATTAACCATAAAGATGTTGTCCCATGGTTGCAGGCTATGCACAAAAGTGGTGAATTATCTAAGTCGTTATATATTTTTAATGAAATCGATACACAAGTTTGTGGTTGTAACCAATGTTTAAAAAACCGGTTTGAACCGGCCGGTCGAACCGGTTGGACCGGGAACCGGGAGAGGGAGCGGTTCAACTATCACCGGTTTTACATTGATTTCTGAACCGGATTGAACAGGCCGGTTTTTAGAAAAACCGGTTGAACCGGTCAAAATAAACCGGTTGAAACGGTTAAACCGAATAAAAACACATGAAAAAAAGAATCATTTACATAATAAACTTTGGTGATTTTTTTCAAATCTATTTAGTTTTCTCTAAATAAAAACATACGGTAACTGTTATTCTTTTGATGTGTTTGTATTCATCAAAAACTATATTTCGTTTCGGTATTATACTTTATTTTCTTTTTGACGTATATGGATTGATGTAAGACACTAAAACTTATGGTTATGTGTTATTTTAATGTATTTGGATTCATCTACAACTTATTTTTATGAGTATTTTTAATGTTTGAACTTGTAAATATCAAATTCATAATTTCTATATGTATGTATGTGTAGGAAAATAGAAAAAAAACATGAAAAATATAGAAACCGGTTCACCCGGCAGTTGAACCGGTTAAACCGGGAACCGGTCACCATACCGGTTCAATTAAAAAACCGGTTTTTAAAACATTGGTTGTAACTTGTTCGTGGGTCCCTTTTAATTGATACCATTTTGGAATTGTGGATATATATTTTAAAATAATAATTTAGGTAAATATAATATTTTGAAAGTTTATATAAGATATAAATGATATTTTAAATTGTATTTATTAGAGGGGTATATAGTCAATTGATAAAAATTAAAGATTAAAAATATTAAAAATAAGGATTTATGTAAATATGATATTTTGAAAGTTTATTAAGAATAAATATTATATTTAAAAATTAGAATGAATAAATATGATATTTTAATGTTTAAATAAGATAAAAAAAATCATATAATTATATTTTATACATAGTATCAAATTATACAACTAAAATTAACAGGAGAGGGTGTATATAGGGTTTTGGAGAGTTTGTTGAAGGAGTGTCAGACCATTTGAGACAGCTGCTTTGAGCTTTTGATGAGTGGTTTGTTAAGTGTTCTTAAAAGCATAGAAGGCATCCACCTGAGGTAAATGTCAGGCGCTGAATGTGAAGAAGAAGTCGACCCAACGGAAGACGAAGAAGAAGATGAAGAAACGGTGATAGGGTTAGGATCTTACAAAGGAAAAGTTCGAATGGTGAGAGGAGATCCCTCCGATGAGATGATGTTGCTTTGGGGACTTCAGCAGCCAACGTTCTCTAAACCCAATGCTTTTGTCGCTCAGTCTTCTCTCAACCTCTCCCTTGATGCTTGCGGACGTTGTCTCTCCATTTCTCAGTCCCCTTCTTCACTGGTCAGTTGCTCCTGGATCTTGATCTCAATTACAATCTCTTACAGCATTCATATGATTTTATCTATTTGGAAGTATGGATTTTTTCAGAAAATTGAAACAATTCCTGATGGTTCATAAGAATTTAAATATCTTCCCTAACTTTCAAACTAAAACCCTAAACCCTAAAACCCTTTACTATGTACCATTCTCTTATTATGTAATTTTGGAGTCAAATGTTATAATTTACCTGTAACTCAAATATTTCGATTCTCACAATAACTAATTGATCTTTTGAGCAGTTTCATCTTTTTTTGTACTTTAAGTTTTATTCAGGTTTTAATCCAAATTCCAATTTAATGATGTGTAGCAAAAAGCCCAATTTCATAAACTTGCAAGTAGTTTGTTTAAAATACCATTAAGGGGCGTTTGATTCTCCAACTTCACGGGGTTTGGCTGGAATTGGAATTAAATTCCATTCCAATCCATTGTTTGGTTGCAAATGAGTGTGGAGTTGAATTCTGTTAAGATTCACAAAACAATTCAGCTGAGGAATGTCAACATTCCATCCTACAACCCTTGGAATTCAATTCCTAACATTTCCTCTTTGTTAAAAATACTCACATACCCTTTTATCCCCTCTTCTCTCCATCTGTTTTCCCTCTTCTCATTCACGAATTCTATTCCATTTTCTGCCAATCAAATGCGTGATAGAATTCAATTCCTTCATATTTAAAGTCCTTCAAGTTCCAGTTTATATGTACAATGTTGTAATAGGAAGAAATGAAAATAAGATGCTATAGATTATATCATTGTAATAAACAAATCGATCAAAATATGTTGCTATTTCTTGCATGCAACCCTATAAATAATGTATTCCTAATAAGCAATATAAAAAATGTATGTAAGAATTCTATAATATTCATTAAGTCATGATTTTTCAAAGTGCAATGTCTTAATAAGCAATATAAAAATGTAAGTAAGAATTCTATAAAAAAAAAACAAATAAATCAAAGTATATTGCTATTTCTTGGATGCATGGGTAACTTTTGTTACACTGATTGGTATATTCCAGGGTGTTCCTGGAGTAACTGGATCAGTTATGTGGGACAGTGGAATTGTTTTAGGGAAATTTTTGGAGAATGCAGTGGAAACAGGATTACTTGTTCTTCAAGGCAAGAAAGTTGTTGAATTAGGTGCAGGATGTGGCTTAGTTGGGTAAGAAATAGCAACATACTTTTGTTCATTTTTTTATTATATTCTTTTGTCTGTTATAACATTATACATTGAAAAATGGGTAAATGACACAAAAGACACTATGTTTTCACTTTTTTTCGATTTTGACACTGCATTATTTATCGTTCTAACATCACATTTTCCAGTATTGTTCAATTTTTCACCATTTCACTAGGACCCTCTCAGTTTGTCATCAGAGTTGGAAAATACGATGTTAAAATAAAAAATAAATAAATAAATAAATAAATAAATAAAAAGTGAAAACATAGAACAAAAATTGGAAAATGCAGTGTCATAATTGAAAAAAGTGAATACATAGTGTCTTTTGTGCCATTTACCCTTGAAGAATCTACCCAAATGTTGCAGTTTTTAACCAATTACAACTGCGTTGGTTTTTCAAAGTATAATGTCTTAATAAGATTTAGGGTTAATCTTATAAAAGACCTTTTATTTTGTGTTTTTTTTTTCCAGATTAAACCTTGACTTTATTTTTTTTTTTCATGAAAAAGACCTTGCATTTTTTTTCGTTTTTTCCAATCTGGCCCTTTTAGTCATTTTTCTCCAAAAAAAAGTTGTAAAATGTGAGTGTTTTATCAGGAAAATCTAAAAAAGTTGAGGATTTATTTGGAAACATTTAGAAGGTTGAGGGTTCTTTTCGGAAAAAAAAGACAAAGTTAATGGTTTTTTCGGGAAAAATGAAAAAATATAAGGTCTTTTTCATGAAAAAATAAAGATGACATGATAGATTCTTTTTTTCCCGAAAAAGTCCTCAACTTTGTGTTTTTTTCATTTTTCTGAAAAAGCCCTCAACTTTGTATTTTTTCCCAAATAAACCCTCAACTTTTTTAGTTTTTCTCGAAAAAACCCTCACATTTTACAAATTCTTTTGGAAAAAAATGACTAAAAGGGCCGGATCGAAAAAATGAAAAAAAATACAAAGTCTTTTTCCAGCAAAAAAAAATAAAATTTGAGGTTTAATCCGGAAAAAACACAAAATATAAGGTCTTTTTTGAGATTAACCCTTTTTAACCAATTACAATTGCATTGATTTTTCAAAGTACAATGTTTTAATAAGATTTAACAAAACAATGAATGTATAATGCTATAATCAGATATATTTTTTGAAGTACAATGCCTTAATAAGAAAAACAATTGAAAATAAAAAAGGCTATAATAGGAAGAAATGAAAATTGGATTCGATAATACAAAATAAATGTAAGTAGATTGCCCTTTTTGAAAGTAGAGTGTTCTCATATTGTGTTTTCAGATGTATTGCAGCTCTTTTAGGTTCTGAAGTTATTCTTACAGATATGCCAGATAGACTAAGGCTTCTAAAAAAGAATGTTGAAGATAATTTATATGGAGATGTGAGGGGTTGTGCAACAGTTAATGAGCTTACATGGGGAGATCATGCTGACTCAGCATTGGTGGAACCTTTTACCTGATTTTGGTAATATCTCTTTCCTTAAATAGCAATATACAAATTTGATGCCACATAGGATAAGGATACTCACATGTATAACATGTTGCTGACATGGCTGTTATTTTATGAATACAGTGATAGGATCAGATGTGATCTATAGTGAAGAAGCAGTAACAGATTTGTTAGACACCCTACTAGAACTCAGTGGGACCCAAACAACAATTATTTTGGCTGGAGAACTTCGAAATGGTAATAACATTATTTCTATCACACTTTGTATTTGTCTATTTGAATTCAGACATTAAAGATATATGAGATTTGAAGCTTTCTTTTTTGGTTGTGTAACAGATGCTATCCTTGAATACTTCATGGAAGTAGCAATGGAGGATTTCATCATTGGGCGTGTAGATCAAGAAGGTTGGCATCCGGATTATAGAAGTCCACGTGTTGCTATGTATGTAATGGTTAAGAAGTCGATGCCATAGTGATGAATTGTTTTTGATTCATAACATATAGTGTGTTGTGCTTATTTTTTTTTTGTTCATGAATTTTGTTTTCTTTAAGAGATTCAAGAAAGCACATATGTTGATCTTTGGTAGTTTGTAGATTATCGGGGGCTTTTTATGCTTGTTTAGACTGTTATAACAGTTTTCTTTTGAGTAGAAATTACAATAGTAAAATTGTAATGCGACACATTTTACATGACAATGGAGAAAAAATGTCGTATGTGATGGAGAAAGAAGATATGGAGGAAACCATGGTGAGTGTATTTAATCAGCCATTTCAACTAGAGAAAAAATTAATATCACTAGGCTTAGGAATGTTACAACACAACCCTTGAATGTGTTAAATTGAGTGTATTATGATAGAATATGGGTTTGTATGTTTAAAATGATGTTTATGTGCAAAATCATGAAGGCTTAAAAGTTTTAAGGGAAAGATGCAAAAGTTGAATCATCTAGAACATGTAAAATGGGCTGAAGGTTTCTCAAAACACCTGCGCTAAGAGCCTAAGACTGGTATTATGTTACTCGGAAATCCTGAAACATTACATAAATAAGCAAAATATTTTAAAAAAATTGCACTCTAAGTATAAGATATTTCAGCACCATTTATGTAATGCTCTCTTCAAGAAAACTATTTTTGTAATTTCGTTATTAAATCAGGACCATTGCTATAAATATTTCTTACAAAGAAACCATTTCTATAATGTCGTTATTACACAGGTATCATTTGTGTAATATCGCTATTACATAAGGACCATTTTTATAATAGTTACTGTAATTATTGAAATTAAAAACTACATGAACATATCTATAGTTGTTGAAACAAAAAACTACATGACCAAAATTGTAATTAATACAAATTTAAAAAATATAGGGACTAAAACTATAGTCATCTAAAATAAACTACAAGGACCAAAACTGTTATAAACTATAGGGATTGAAATCGCAAATTTGGTCCCTGCAGTTTAACAAAAGTGCAATTTCAGACCAATTTTTTTTTCACACACGGATGGTCCAAAACTGAAACTTCGATGCAGAATTGGTCCCTCGAAATTTTGAATGCACTTGAAAAGACTATTTTGCACTCCCGATTTTCTTTTTTTGTAATATTCTGTTTCTTGTCATTTCTTATTTCAAGGCCATGGGTCGGAAGTCAATTGTGTAAAGGCTCTGGGCCTTAAGAAGGTAATGTTTAGACTTTTGGATGGAGGCAATGATGGATGCGAAATCTTAACCTTTGAATTGTGTTTTGGGTCAAAAGGTAGAAAAAGGAAAGTCATAAGTCGGGGTCTTGCATGAAATATGGATTTTTGTTCGAGAAGTTGTTAGTCCAAGATATCTAGATAACATTGTGGGGCTCTTCAATACCTTTCCGTGGATATAGAGATCGTCGAAAACGGAGTTGGAACGAAGAAGTTATGACCATTAGAAGCTAGGAAGGTTTTGGGTTAAGCCGAGTACGTTGGGCGTACGGGGTGTACGCTCGGCATACTAGACAAGGCTGATCGCGGAGGATCAACCTGGTACGCTGGGCGTACACGATCAGAAACCAAACCCTAATTTTGGGGTTTTGAGCCCTATTTAAGCTTTTTAACTCCCCCAAACCCTTATTATTTTTAGCTTCCACCTCTCCAACGTCCTCCTTGAAATCCAAACCCTAGCTTGAGCTTTGTGAGCTAAAGAAGGTGTTTTTGAGTGCTTTGGAGTGTTCTTGGTGTATCTTGGAGAAGAAGGATCTCATTAGAGAAGTGTTGGTTGCATTGGAGTTTGCAGATCCAAACTTTGTTCACCTTGATCTTTCTTCTAGAGGTATAAAGCTTGAATCTTGATGATACATTTGTTAGATCTAGTTATTTTTGGGTGTTATGATCTTTTGGTCACTTTAGTGCATAAATTTTAGATCTTGAAAGTTTGTGACCTTGTTATGGATAAAGTTGGAAACTTTATCCATCTAAACATCACATTGATTCAGATATGAAGGTTGGAGACTTGGACTTAACAGATTAAGTTGAGAAAGATGCACTTTTGTTCCCTTTGAGACTTAAAGACTAGATCTTGGTTGTTTGGACCATATTAATGGGTAAAGTTAGAAACTTTATCCATTATGGAGCTATTAGGAACCATAAAAATGTGATCTTGGTCCTTATATCCCTTCCATGCAAGAATTGTGATGTCTTAATGGATTAATAAGTTAGGGTTTTAGCTTTTGGACCTTTTCTAGCCATGGAAAGTCATAAAGGTGGAAACTTTATGACTTAAGTCGATGCTTTGAGTCTAGATTTGGGCTCTGGACAAAAGACCTTAAAGGATTAAGTGCTTAATGAAGGACTGGGATCAGGCCGCGTACGCTGGGCGTACTCAGCAGCCTTGGACTTTAACTTCCGCTAACCGTTGAATTTTAACCAAGTTTAACCTTGGGTCAAACTTGAGGATTTTAGGATATTAATTAAGATTCTATCTGGTTCTGGTGTTAGTGGATTCACAGGTGCAAGCTGTACAAAAAAGGGATCGTATCGCAGTGTTTTAGAGTTCTTCGATTTAGGTGAGTTTTACTCACTGTACATGGGGTTGAAGGCACCAATGTCGACCTGTCACACCCCCGAACCAGACGGCGGAAATGTCCGGGGGCTCGTGTGACTAACAATTGAATAATCATCACAATGAATATACGTGAAACATAACACATTCATCACCAACATTACATAATACAACTAGCGTTGTTCACATCAAGTACATTGTTAAAATACATAAGTTCAAATTGTTAAAAATACGATAAGTGCTGTTACATAAAACAAAACCATACACACTTTCAAATCTTCCAGCTTAACGATTACCTGAGAATACAAGTTATTTTGAAAACGGTCAACATATATAATGTTGGTGAGTTCATAAGTATGGTTGAATAAAAGCCTTGTATCTTTCGTAAAAACCCAGAAAATCCGATATTTTCTGTAAAATGTCTGAAAAAGTTGTGCAAATAAAATATATAATGCATGTGTGAATTTCATAGTTGTGATATATATATATATATATATATATATATATATATATATATATATATATATATGTTTGTAATTTAGATTTCCTTGTGTTGTAAGTAAGCGATTGTTGAGTAGTGATTATTTCCCCAGAAAATCTGATATTTTCTGATTTAAAATAATGTCGAGGTTCTTGTATCGTTAAATAAATTGTTTTGTATTGACACCATCGAAGAAATTATCTTCGAAGTATTAATATTTTGGTATAGAATCCTAACATGAGCCGTTATAATCATACATGGTAATGACTAGGTTGTTTGTCTTGACATTTTTCCAAATGCCGGGATTTGCTCAAGGTTTTGTCGCCCTAGACTGGCCTAGTCTAGCTGTAGCGAGCAGCTAAGGCGTGGGGGGGGGGGGGTCACCTCGTATAGATCTATACACAAACTCTCGCTCTCCCTCCAGGAGACTCTGATTATAACTACAAGCTACGACTATACACTCAAGGTGCCAACCGACACGTCTCACTAGATTTTCAACCTTTCGTACTTTGATTAATGTTTACGTGTATTTTATGCGTTATCCATCCAAGGTCCAATTATAAGTATACAAAGTTCAATAGTTATGTGAAAGTATAGTTAAATTTACTAAGCATATGAATCTTAGTCCAAGCCCAATTAGCATGTAAATGGGTCACAAAAGCCCGATAAACATGTCATGGTAGATATTGGGCTCAATATACACCTGAATGGGCCCTTAAGGCCCATTGGCCACGGAAGATGAATATTAGGCCCAATAAAATTTTTAACGATATATTCCGTCCATTCGTATTGTTTCGTTGTTTATTTTAGCTCGTGGTTTAACGAACTTATTATAAAAAGTCTCATTTTCCTTAAAACAACATTTTTGGTCCAAAGCCTCAAATTTTCAATTAAGGCCCAAAGTTTTGTAAAAATGACATTTTAGTCTTATAGTTTGTAAAAATTTGCAACTTTGTCCCAAATGTCTAGAAATTCACGGTTTTAGTTCAAAAGTATGTATTTTGACATTTAAGACCTATTTTTGCAGAAAAGTGCATTTTCAGCCCTTGGTTTGTAAAAATTTACACTTTCGGCCCAATTTTGGAAAAGTTTACATTTTTGGTCCAATTTGAAAATAAATGTTATTTTCACCCCTAAATTTGGTTTATTTACATTTATGACCCAAATTTTACTCAAATAACATTTCTAATCCCAAAAACTTCATTTTTTTTCGCAATTTTTGGGCCCAACCCGTGAGGCCCAAAAGTTTTGGCCCATTAAGCTTAAGTTTGCAGTTTTGGCCCTTTTTAAAGTATGTTTAACATAAAAATACCTTTTTATACATATAGGACCTGTTTGGTCCCTATAAAAACATAAATGTCACTTTTTTCCCTTATCTTTTGTTTTCTTGACAATTTTGGCCCTTAACAAAGTTTTTGCCTTAAATTTTGCATCTTAGACATATAACACTTTTAACTTGATAGTTTGATATATAAGGTGTCTTGGTTCATGGATCTTAACTCAATGTTACTTAAGAAGTCATGATTTGTCAAGATCTAACATGTTTTTACAACATAATCTAAGAAATCACACAAGACATGCATATAACACATAGATATACACATTTTACTTGCATTCTCCCCCAAAAATCATGTAAAAACCAAAAAAAAGGGGGTATGAACTCACCTTAGCTTGATGTTTCGGTTTTTGAAGAAGAATGGAAAGAGATGAAGTGATTTTCGGCCCTAGCAAACTTCCTTTGAGTAGTTTTCGAACTTAGGGGCTTCTAATGAGTTAGAACATGAAAGAAGGTTATGTAAGAAAAGATTTTTAGCATTAAGATGGATAATATGTGTTTATATATAATAAAAACTTACCAAGAAGTTGAAACCTTGAAGATTACTCTTGAAGCACAAACAAAAACCTTAAGATGTTTGATGAAAGAAGAGGATGATTTTAGAGATGTTTGGAGAGGATTTGTTTTGAGTGTGTGTGTGTGTGTTTTGGCTCTTGGCCGAGAGTAGAAGAAGAGAGAGGAGAGAGTGGTGAGGTGACTAGCATGGGAATATGAGAGACCATGCCTTGATACATGGTGTGTATTATGGAGGTGGCACCTCCAAAGTCAACCCCCCCTTCCATTACATTTTTCATTTTTTTTATTGATGATGGGCCGAGGGTTCTTGGCTAGGAGAAAGGGTGGAGTAGTTTGGGCCTTGACTTGCC